GACACAACCTCATCGATAAAGACAAGCTCCTCCTCACCATCAACAGTGTCGGCGTCCACCTTGTAGTCAAGGCCCCCCACCGCAACTGGACAATTATGCCACTCGTTTGTGCCAGGGAAGCGCCAACTTAACTTCTCATTGCCTTTGCACGACACCTCCACCGGCACCTCCACCCAGCTCCACTTTCCTTGCAGAACAGAAGGTAGAGATATATGTTTTGCAGAAGCCTTCCTCGTTTCAGAAGGAGCAGGAGCAGAAGCAGCCCCGCACACGAAGCAGCTGCTGTGCAGCAGCAGCAGCGCAAGGACCGCCAAAGCGGTCACCGCACGGCGCCGCACCGTCGTCATCGTCATCCGTCGTGGTGTCAGTGGTGGTAGAGTCGCTGAAGTCAGTGAGCGGGGCTGTGAGGCTGCAGGGCAAAGGAGGAAAGAAAAAAAAAGACGAGAAAGGGAAGTAGAGGTAGCAAAGAGTGCAGCGAAAAAAACAAAAAGGTGGCATCCCACCAAGTCCACGCGCATAGGAGATTCCGCACGCACCCACACAAAGAAAGTCACACCGCGTCAGCAGCCACCCACGACGGCCACGCGCACACTCACGGGAAGTGAGCATGCAACCATCAAATGACACGGCATACACACCGCACTGCCACTCACTACAGCACCACCACACGCAGTGCCATGCACCCGCACAAAAACGGGAGAAATCACGCTGCACACTATCCCCTCTGGTTGTTCTCTCCCTCTTCTCTTCACGGCAAGAAAAGACAGCAGCCGCACCGCACCGCTAGCAGAAACTACAAAGAAACCATCCACGTGCCCTGCGGTATATGAGTGCACCGTGGGCAGTGTGGCCGTGTGTGTACCTGCAGCTACGCAACGCAAAGAGGGAGAAGAGCAAAGCATGAGAGAGGGCACACGCAAAAACAAAACACGCAGCAGAGACGCGGGACAGAAAAGCGGCGAACGGAGACAACTGAGGCTGGAGGTTGCACCGCAGCCCAAGCGGCAGCCACTGAAAATATAACGAAAAACAAAAAAAAATGTAAAACGTCCTGCATTATGCATAACTCCCCCACAAACCCTAAAAAAAAAGTATCGTCCTCCGCAATGTTTTCTCCTCAAAAAAAAAAAAACAGCGGTTTGGTGCGCCGCTGCCAAAAGCTGCCCGTGTGCATTTTGTCCGCAAAAAAAAAGAAAAGTCATGTCCGTTTCGCCCCATTGTGGTCCGCCGCATGCCCACGCAGTCGGTTGCATTTCATGGCGGCATTCTGCGCGGCGGTGCTGCTCCGCCTCGTGGGCGCCTCATCGCTGCAGTGTGACGGCCCTCTTCGGCGTGTGCGGGGCGGAGAGCAGCGAACAATCGTGCGGGGAGCCCGCCCCTCCAACGGAAGGGTGTGCGCACAGCAAAAGAAAACAAAAAAGCAAAAAAAGAAGGAAAAGGGGCCCCCAAAACAAAGAAATTAACGAGCGGGAAGGAGCCGACGCCGTTTCCAGCGCGGGCCGCACCTCCCCCCTGCTGCTCCCTTCCGCTCACACCAGCGACACGCCGCCCCACAGCCCCAGCAGAAGAAGCGGCAGCAGCACCGCGGCCCCACACCCACGCACGGAGCCGTCGCGCGTGACCTGCGGAGGGGCTGCGGTCGACGGCGCTTCTGTCGTCGCCGGAGGGGCGGGCTTCTCCTTCACGAGCGCCTTCAGCTCCGTGGCGTTCAG